TAAAGAGAAATTTTTTTTTCCCCCCCCCCCCCTTTTGCTTTCCCCCTTAAACATTTTGGATTTGATGACACAAATGAAAAAGGAGAATGTATAGTATATTAACCCAAATCAACCAAAACGATGCTGGCTCTAAGCATCGTTGCCATGGGTTACTGCACTCCACTCAGCTTTCATTTGTTTTATTGGGCGATATTGCCTACCCCCATTTCATAGCCGTTATGCCAACACACAACATTAAATCGACCGCTACATCTTTTGCTGCAATAACCAAACAGATTTACTATTGATTTATGTAGTTAGCAGATCTTTTCGGCAAACATGCTGTGCTCAGAGAAATAGAGGCTGTTCAGAGGCCGGGTGTAATTATCTAATTAACACCCTCCCGTGTTGTACAGCCTTGCCATACATTATTCCCATGCTGTAGAGATGATAATAATAGCTGTGCGCTAACACTTTACATTACTAATTCCTTTCCCTTTTGTAAACAGCCGTGCTGGAGCTGCTGCAAATTCAGCACAGGCCTCCATCCCTCCTGAGCCTGCAGGGCCTGGCAGATAAATTTGGAGGTTACCGTGGAGATGTTCATCCTGGGAGTATAGTCACACCCACTGGTTGCTGAGCAACACACAAAAAAAATCTAAAGTTGCTGCAGCAAAATTACAATTCAAATGTTGCAGCATTAATGTATACGCTTACTTATGGCAGACGTGGGATTGAGGCGGGGAGTATCGAAGTACGGTGACAAAACTGACAATACATCAGCAAAACACAATTTACAAACTCAGTGACTGCAAATAAAGAATAATATGTTGCAGAATATTTTATAAATAATCCGCACTGTTGCACATATGCATTGGACAGGAGTGATATTTCATCCATTCCCTGCAATAAGTCAAAGCTTATACTGGAAGGAGGGCAAAGGGCAATGATGACGTGTGATAAGCAGGAACTCTAATCCACCAATCACGTTTCAGCTTATCGTAGTCACAACAGTAGAGGAGTCAATATTGTTCCTGCATGTTACAATTCAACGCTCCACTTTTCACTGCATTACTGAATACACCTGATAGTCTCTCTTTTCTTTAACCAGTTGACATCCGCGGTGTTAAACCCCCTACCCGTCATTAAAGAGATATGCAGGCTGCCATTGCTGACCTGCTACTGGAAGTGTTGGCTGCATCATGCTGATGGAATGGCTTTAGTCTTTTCTGAGCCAATGACATAGAACAAGCGATAAAGAATTCTGACGTTTCCCTTTCACTTGATGAATACTTCTTCCAGGTCTGTGATGTGTATGTGCCATGCCAGTACACTCATAACCTATATCTAAACCATCGCAAGATGTGAAAGTTGCTAGGAGGATAGATTCTTTTTGCTAAAAAAAAAACTATTTCTCCTTGCTCCTTGGTTTTACTTTTTTTTTGGTGTTCACTTCCTGCAAAGCATTTAGAGTGCATTGTACACTCTCAGCATCTTTCGGATGATGGGAGCGGGCCAAGAATGGAGCCAAGTGCCAGGACAATGTAACACATGACACATGAACAGGAGTTACTTCATCCGTGGCTACCCAATGACCAAAGATAGAAGATAACGGATGCGGACGAAGCAGCGGAGGTGCCTGGGAGCGCAGAACCGTCAGCGCTGGTGATGGGCAACATCAGATGCAAGTCTGGCATAATGCATAAGTATACATGGCATACATGCACATTAGAGTGGAAGAGCTTTAGTTTGGAGAGCGGTGGATAGTGTGAGGATGCAAATATGAAAGCAGCCATTGTTGTTTTTAAAAGTCGAAGGCTCTAGGGCTACTTTATGCTGGCTTCCCTACCTGCTGATTGGCCTGGAACAAGCATCCAGCTGGTAAAGTCTGGAGAGTTCTAACACTCTTCAGTGACTCATTAAATATTAAAGGCAGGATTGCCATGACAGTCTTGGGGCCTGCAAATGCAAATACCATATTTCTGTACTCACAGGTGAACTTTAAAGTGCATGTGCATTGGACAGAGCGGGGGCAGAGGCTTGGAGTATGAGAACAAAGACTGCATTGTATTTGCTTAGGAATCACACCCCAACATTTTACTGTGGGTACTACATACATGAAGTTTGTGAGGTGTCATGTTGGTCCTTCTATACCCAAAAATATATAGTTAGATGAACTGGCTTCCATCAAAAAAAAGGTCTGAGCCATAATACTATGGCAATGGCTTGCGAAGCCATTTACACATTGTGAAACAATTTTACATGCTCTACAAAGCACTGCAGATGATGTTATTGCAATCTTAATTAAATTCAATTCTACATGACCTGAAGTTAACAGTCTAATGGTTTTCCAACCATGCCTAATCGTGAGATACTTGTGGCTCAGTAAGACAGCTGGCAGGGCACACTGGCACATATAGTTCCCCAATGGTAATGTAATATATATGGGACGCATCAATACTGTTTTTTCAGTATCTAGTGCCGATACTTTGCTTTTGGTTCTTGCCGATGCCGAGTACCGATACTTCCGCTGGCATCGAACTGGCTTCCCAGCCAATTCACATGGAGCCGGCCTCCCGGCCAATCAGGATCAGTCATTACTCGCCACCCGGCTTCCCGATTGCTTGGGAAGCCAACTCCATGCTCCATGTTCCCCCTACGGCACTGCCGGTCAAAGGAAATCTTCCTCTGACCGGAAGTTCCGGTATCGGGGAAGGTATCAGAGCACTTGGGTTAGTACGAGTATATATTTATTTATACACACACACACACATATGTTTTTCAACATATGTGAACAAGCAAACATTAGATCTTGGTTCAAGCAGTGACTACAAATAAAGGTGACATCCTTGAACAAATGGCACGTGAAACTGACATGGAGTAGTTATTCTTATATTCTCATGATGTAAATGAATGAAAATGCAGATGTGTCATGTGGGGAAAGTAAGTGTACCCCTACAATTGCCATCACCTTAAATCCTTGAAGTTAGAACAATATTTTTCAGATTAAGTGCCAATAATTACAACCTCCTTGGGGAGCATACAGGTGGAACCGGTGTTATTTAAACCTCAGATATCTAAAGTCCGGTGTTCTCTTTGCAATTGATGTGTGTGGTTTCATCGTGCCAAGATCAAAATAATTCTGTAAGGCCCTCGGAAAGAAGGTTGTGGATGCCTAGGAGTCTGGCATGGGATTTACAAGGATTGCCACATTATTTGATATCAATCATTCCACTGTAAGGAACAAAATGGAGAAGTAGTGTAGAATTCAAACCTCTGCTAGATTGTCCAGGACTGGCTGGCCCAGCAAATTTAGCCCAAAAGCTGTTTTTCTGATGCTAAAATGGGTCACCAAGAACCCCGAAAATGGATCGTGGAATCCGCCAATGACTCTTGCAATAGTTGGTGTCTAAGTGCATACATTTACAACCAGACAAAACTTGCCTGGAAATGTGCCTCAAAATAGCCTTTGCTTTAAAAGAGAACATTAAAGCAAGACTACAGTCAGCCATTAAACAAACAGGCAAAGACCAGGCCTTCCGGAGCAATGTGCCATAGACTGATAAATCAATGATAGAGTTGTTTGCGTACTGTACCCGTAGACAAGTTTGGCACTAACAGATTTCAGGAGAAGAACCTCATGACAATTGTAAAGCATGGTGGTAGAAATCTTATGGTTGGGGGCTGTTTTGCTGCTTCAGAGCCTCAGCAGCTTTCAGTTTTCGATTAGAATACAAAATCTGCATTATATTAAAATGTGCTCGATGAGAACGTGAGGCCACCTATCCATAAGATGAAGTTGAACTGGAAATGGAACTTTCAATACGATAATGATTTAGAGCACACTTACAAATCCACCAAGGGATGGCTCAAAAAGAAGAAATGGAGGGTTATGGACTACTAGACTAATCAAAACCCTGGTTTGAATCCCTTTAAAGTGTTGCAGGGAACCCACAAACATCGTGCAACTAAAGGAATTTTGCATAGATGAATATTCACAAATTTCAGATGTCAGAGACTGATGGGCAGTTATGCAAAACAACCACAGGTAGCAATGTCTACTAAAGGGGATAATGTCAGCTTTTGAGGGCCAAAGGTGTACTTACTTTTTCCAGAGTACACAATTACATATATTGAAATCTTTTGTTACATAATTAAAAAAGGAAAATTTTCATTATGTTTGTATTATTGTTTAAATCAATATCTGATTTATGCCAGTTCAAATATGTTGAAAAAGTCAACAATTTCCATGGGGTGTACCTACTTTTTCACATGAAAACACACACACACACACACACACACACACACACACACACACACACAGCTTTTCATTCTGCTGGCTCATGGTTCACATGATTTCACAGCAACTGACAGCTATCAATAGCAAATTCCCCCAACAAAGTGTCGCTTCCAGTACAGATGAAAAAAGGATTAATGGTTTTGACTATACTATGTTCCACTTTCTAGGTAAATGAATTACAGACCTTAATTATCACAGTGTCTCACAGGGAGTGTGCTGTAACACAGCAACCAGATTCATTCTTCAATTCTTATTAAAGGTTTTCTGATGAACAAAAGGTGCAGCATAAATAGTTAAAAGAAAGACCACACATTCGGACATGCCCTGCTGATAGTCAGCACATGTTTGGGCCATCACTTATTCTGGAGGCCAATACAGACCGGCACAGAGTGGCAAGGAAGGAAGATGTGTCGATTAAGTCGCCACAGCCGGCTGGTTTGGCTGTCATGATGCTAACCAAATCTGTCTTAGATTGTCACTCTACAGACAAGAAGGAAACGTGTCTGCCATCTCTGTCTCAGTCTCCACCGCACACTCACAAAAAATCAGGCTGATACCTTATCTCTATTATTTTTTTCATGTATACATTTAACTCCAGGCTTTCAATCAATACTAATTAGCAAATAATTAAGTCTATCCGATATGTAATTAACTGTCTAGTGCTCATAGCAGAATCATATAAGGCAGATATTTTTGCCTTTTAGAATTCTTACACTGAAAGCCCCATAGCTACATCTACACAATTGTGGACATACCATGTTTTGTTAGGAGATGAACTGCAACTCCCAGCATGCTCTATTCTTAAACAGCAGAGCTTGCTGGCGGCTGGAGATGAAATAATTAAGAATTCCAAGCAGCAGCTCTGTTGAGTGAAGATACAGCATGCTGGAAAGTTGCATGGTGCATACAATCATGAAACACCATGAAAGTTATAATACTACAGAAAACTGTCCCTCTTGCCTCATCTTGTGCCATACACTCATACCATCTCACAGGTCAGAAGACAAATGACACCAACAGTCAATTAACATTAAACACAGCATTAAATCCCCTTCCCTATTGAAGCAAGCAAATAGTTTAGTATAGTTACTTGGCTCTGGTGATGCCATGGTGGAGACAATGATGGGTGGTCCAGTCCTCCTGGTAACCTTCTGGTAGGGTGAGTGGGGAGAGTGCTGACTATGTATGGTAGGTGGTGGTAAGCTCATTGTGGTCTCCATATGACTCCCCTGTTTGCGTAGAAGCTGAGGGCTATAGTGAGGGCTGTGCACAGGAGAAGTGGGTGGAAGGCGCTCTCTTTTCATAAGCTCCATGGGTACAGTATAACTAGTAGGGTAAGCTGTTTTTGGTCCACTGGTGATGTTTGTGTGTACAACAGTCATGGGTATGCCAGACTGGGCAGGGTAGGCTGATGCTGACCGAGTTTGAACAGGCATGGAGTATCCAGTGGTTTGCATGAACTGTGGGTTTTGGACATTCATTCCACAAGCTGGGTAGCTGGCCGCCTCCAGTAAATGCTGGGATGGAGCGCTAGAAGGACGGCGGGTGAGTTCAGCCATTCTGGGAGAGACCGGCTGCAGTGATAAAGATTGTTGTGTGTTGGAAACGCCATCCATCATTGGGTTATTAAGGGTCTGTGCACCAAAATCACCACGCATAAGATCTCCACGGTGGCTGAAGCTATTGGAGCGGGCTCGAGACCTCAAGGAGTTGCTTTTCTGTGGATCTTGTCTCAGCATCTGCAAATCTACCCGGTAGCTCTTGATAAGACCTAAAAGCAGTCTTGCCTGGCCAAGATTTGCAGCCACTGATTTAATGTCATGTTCTTCCATGACAGCCAGTGAGCTGGGTGTGTCGAACCCCTGCTGTATCAATGCACTAATAGTTGCTTCAGAAAGGCCTTCACTTCTTAAAGTTGTAAGGAATTCCATATCTACAACCCTTTTTAGTTCGGCTCCAGAAAGAGCCTGAGGATGCGATGGATTTAGAGTGCCATCATAGGCATCATATGTCATCTTACCAGTGACATTATCTCTTACTGAGCCGTAGCCACGATTTGCAGAGATAGAAGAATTTCCCAGAGTGCCATCCATGGCAGCAGATTCACTGGGCTCCACCACTAGGCAGGTAGGAGCTGTCTGTCTCCCTCCAGTGGGATCAATGGCTCGTTCTATCATCTCATTATAAATCGGTCTGTTGGGGAACGCGGAAGCCTCTGAGCCATATCTGGGGTTGGATATATCTACTGTGTATCTGGCAGGGGAGGAATCTCGACTCCTGGAACGTTGTCCCTCGGCGATGACTCTACCTGTAGGATCTCTGTACATACGACCCAATTCTTGTGAGTGATATGGACGTGCTGGAGCCTGTTCCCAGGCCGTACGACTTGTGGGAGGACCGTAAGCATGTCCTGCTCGATTTAGTATTGGGTCTCTGTAATAACGAGGATCCTCCAGGGATCTGCCAGGCAGAGAAGGATCATTATAATAATCTTGGGTTTGCACAGATCCACGCCCAGACATTGCCATTTGCCTCTCGTTGGGAAAGCTGAAGTCTGGGACTGAGGTATTCCTCACTGGCCTGCGGTCCTGACGCACTGGGTGACCTTGCTGACCTCGGATATATGCGTCTGGGTTGGAAGAGAGGTCCGCCTTTATCTCCGAGCTGCCTGGCACGAGAATATCGCGGGATCTACTGCTTGGCAGCTTGTAAAAAGCTTCCTCTCCGTTGTAGGTCAGAGAATTGTTTATGCCGGCTGCTCTGTGATATCCTGATGAGATGTCTCCCTCCCAGCTGCCTTCATACCAACCTGCTGCATCCCAGCTATGCGATCGGCTGATGTTTGTGTGCCTGCCTGGAACCGGCATTGGATAAAAAAAAAACCTTTCAGCTTAGATACAGTGCTAGGAGGAGGAGGCGAGGAAACGTCTCAGTTAAAATCTTCTGTTACATGTATCAAAGAAAAAAAACACACACACAATAAACAGATGTAGCTGCACCTGAGCTCTCTGGAGGCACAACAGAAACAGGCGGCTTGAGTTACAAAAGTATCGGCTGAATTATTAATCCCACGTAATAGAAGACGATACAGTACAACACCCTGTAGACAGCGGTCTCTGCAGGCTTCAGGCACAGACTGGGTGTCCGCATCTAATCCTCATGGCTTTGCCTGAATGGAGGGAACATTTTATTTATATGGATAACTGTGTGCAGATTAGAAAACCTGCAAAGCCCTAATCCTGTATGACAGAGTGGACCCAGACACAGAACCTCCTGATGTCACAGTAACCTGCTGCTTTCAGAAAACCTCTCACTGCTATGCCTCTCGTCTCTCCTATTTACTTGGGTCAGCGGAGAATGGCTGAAATGGGGACATGGAGAATCTAAAACGACACAGCTCCAACTAAACTCTTGATGAAAGAATAACCTAACCAGGCTAGGATTTAACACACACACACACTCACAAGGAAAGGCTGAGACCAGACCCGCAACACTGATTAAAGCTGAAAAGGACACGTTAAGTCCTGGTTCACACCTAGGCGGCACCGTTTTTGCACGTTTTACACGCGCGTTAGCATCATGCGTTTATGCGCGTTGTGCACATTTGTATGCGCGTTCTAATGCGTGTACATGAAGATACGCAATTTGATTGGCAGCTCATAAACAATTGGGGGCAATGGAAGAACACGCGTATAAACGCGCAAAAACGCTCACGGAAATGTGCAACATGCTTCTGCTGAGCATTTTTGGGCATTTCCAATGAAGTCTATGGGGAGGAAAAGCGCTTTTAACTGCCCGAAGAAGCTACTGTACCTTTTCAGGCGTCTGGCGTTTTTCTGCTCAGGTGTGAACCAGGGACATTGAAAATCATGGGGTTTCTTGTGTTGGGCAGTTAAAAGCGCTTTTCGAACTGCTCAAAAACGCCTAGGTGTGAACCAGGGCTAAATCTACAGTTGTGGAGAACTTGACAGTTGTGGAGCAAATTATGCCATACACCAGATTTACAAGTAGGAAAATGACATTTATAAAGACTTGTGTTGTGTTCGTTAAAAGGGATCAGTAACCGCTACAAAATGCAGATATTTCAATTCAAAGTGAAAGTCACAAGACTGTAAACTGGTTTCATTCAATGCAACAGGATATACAAAGTTCCTTAAATGAGCAACAACTGTGGTGGTCTATGGACAGCACTGAAGGTAGCAGCCTACATACAGATACTGTAAGAAGGAGTCTCCACATGTCACGTGGCAGTTTTGTATAATGAATCCCCAAAATGTATGAACTAGAAGGCCTTGGACCTCATCTAGGAGGGTCCCTGAATTCACCATCTATTAGCTGCCATGCATGCAATACTTGGTGGTAAAATACAGACACCAACTCCAGCTTTTAAATGTAAACTAAAGTATTTTTTTTTAAACGGCAGTAATTAGCCGCAAGAACTTAGTTTCACAAATGAATATCAAAATCTGCCCATTGCACCTGCCTTGTATAACCGAAAATACATCTTTTGTTGGGTTACCAGTAGTTTCTCAAGCCAATGTCAACACATTGTGCACATTTAATGAATCCTGGGGTATGAGTCCACACGCTTACAGTGTTTCTTACACTGCGAGATATAAAGCATTGACTGCATTTAGCATGGCTTGCTATCGAAAAGAAACAGAGGAGCACACAGATGAGGACACTTCTGCTACATGCTTCACTGCCCTGTCAGCAATAATCCCCCCCCCACACATATTAAGGTGCCCATACACCTTACAATTATCGTACGATTTTCGTATGCGATCGACTTTTCATCCGAAAATCGTAAGTGTGCATTGCAGTGTCCGACCGACAGTACTGTACAATCGTAAGACTGTTGACGGTCAAGCATGTTTGAAAACTTTGCTAGATCGTACGATTGTCGTAAGGTTGCTGGCGTTTCCGTCCGTCAAAAGTCGTACGATCTACACTGCGCTTGCGCTAACGAAAATACGGCAAATCAATTACCGCATTTCATCCAGGTGCTTTTCGTTAATTATGGCTAAATTAATCTTACGATCATCAGGGCAGCGTGGGGCTGCCGTACTAAAAAATCGTACGACTATTCGATCATCGGACGAAAAGTTTAGTCCGATAATCGTAAGGTGTATGGGCACCTTTAGTATCAGTGACACTAGTAATAATAAACCTTTCCATTCATTGGGGTCAGTGAAAGTGGCAGCTATAATGCCCCCCCCCCCACACCCCACCCTCTGTAGGAGATCACCCAACCCAACAGCAAGTGCTAGCATAATCACAGTGATGGATACTGGAATGCAGAGAGCATTCCAACACTTGGCACTGCACAGCCACTCTGCATTGTATCCTGGAGCGTACAGATCAAAATTCTGGACCTGTCCCACAGAAGCTGGGACTATTGGACACAGTAACCAGGACCTTGTGCTCCACTTAGGAAGATTCCATGGACTGGCAGTTGGACACTAGAGGATGCATGGACATTTACACTACAGGCCAGTAGTGTCCGGTTCTACAGGCTCCATTTCCTACAGAGATGCAATCTCCTCCATAGGATGTAAAAGGTCAAAAAACACATCTACAGCAGAGGATGGACAGCATGAGAATCTGTACAGACAATCAATAGAACAGTTCAACAATACACGTTATTAAGTACACCTGTTTGTTGGTACACACAGTGAAAATGTTATGCTTTATAAGGATAGTGCATCATTGCCATAATGTATGAAGAAAGTACATGAAGCCCGGAAAGACTTCTCACTGACTGGTCTGCAGCAAGACTAATTAACACTATAGATGAAGACGAGGTTGTGATGATGGAACCTACCAACCCTTCTGTGGGGCCCAAAATATTTTTCAGTGCCAATAGCTGGGGTCACTATTCTCAACAGTGGTTTGTAGGTGTCAGTTAAGTAATCAGTATCCTTCCACAGTGACTAGCACTGGGAATCAGAGGCATGCTAAGTCTCTCTATATTCCACTATAATAAACTGCTTTGAAGTTTGCAATTACTTTTAAAATGTGGAAACAAAAAACAACGTAGCCGAATCCTTCCACCTGAACTCTGAAATCCATTTACTCTCTTAAAATGCATCTTTAGTGTAATGAATTTCCTGATCCGGCTGGTCACTGCACCATACAGCAGCTTACTTCTGCCCATCACACTAACTCACGCTGACCTTAATCCTTGCCGGATAACACAGTAATCCCTAAATCTATATACAGAGGACAAATACACAGCACACACAGGCACAGAGTTGTAATTATTTTCCTACAGGAAGGTCTTCAGCTCAGTGGAAGTATTCAGTGACAGCAGGGGGCTGCATGTCCCCCCACCCACTACACACATCCATTAATCTGGCTGCAGCCCACTGCCCTGCTGGCAAGATGGCACCACACTTTATGATCTAAGGGCCACATGGAGGCAACAGATGTGCTTGTTATTAGCTGGCCATGTTGGTATTAGAACGGCATTAACCCATTCACAGCTGTTCAGCGAGCAAGTTAACTCTTTCGTATAAAAGTTTGTGTAAGCTATGAAAAAGGATTTCTTATACGGGCACTAGGAAATATTACTTGGAGGCCAAGCCAATTGTGGGGAAGTCATCGAATATGGCATAAACTGACGGTTCAAGCTCCAGGACTAATTTCTGCTCACAGACAGATTGCGGTCAGCTTGGCAAAGTTCAAAATTATTTTTAAGGATGAAGTAAAAACTATGTTAATCTCAAATTTATCAAATTACCTGAACTACATTATGACGGTAACCTACACTGAGCGGCCAGATTATTATGACCACCCCATCAGTTGGGCCACCTTTTGCCTTCAATACTGCGGTACTGGGCAGTCCCGCTCCCCATCCAAGACTGGAGGAGGCGGACAGCAGGGGCAGCACGGCCGCATCAGTGCTGAGAGCAGGGCCAGCGAGGGCGTGTCAGTGCGGAGAGTGGGGGCAGCGCGGGCGCGTCAGTGCGGAAAGTGGGGGGCAGCGCAGGCGCGTCAGTGCGGAAAGTGGGGGCAGCGCGGCCGCGTCAGTGCAGAGAGCAGGGGGCAGCACAGCCGTGTCAGTGCGGAGAGCAGGGGCAGCGCGGGCGGAGTGTCGGTCTGGAGAGCAAGGAGCAGCGGCCGTGTCAGTGAGGAGAGCGGAGTAGCGCAGCCGTGTCAGTGAGGAGAGCGGAGAGTGGGGCGGCCGTGTCAGTGAGGAGAGCGGAGTAGCGCAGCCGCATGAATGGAGGAATGCCTGCTGTTTTCCCCAGCGGCCACTGTCAGAACACCCAAATGGAGCTTGTGGCAC